CAAAAGGAACCATGTGTCTATCTCGTTTCCTTTTGCCTGTTACAAACATATGCACAAAGACATAATACCCTGTACCACAGTGTGGTAAAGGGTATAAAAACTGGAAAACATCTCCTGATCATAGGCCGATAGTGGCAATTTAAAGTATGATGGGGGTAATAACAAAAATTCGATCAATACTGATCAATTATATTGAAATCTATAACTAAAAAATTACAATTTCACAATATAATTTACCAAAACTCCAAAAAAAGTAATTAATAAATTATGAGGACTACTGTATAAATTTGACCAATAGGGATCAAATTAAAGTCAATTTGGTTGAAAACGTGCCCAAAATTCCTAAAATCTTGAATATCACATTTTTAATACCTCAGCCTATGACATATCGCATGTAGTATACAGTAATCCTAATTTTTGTGGGGGAGGTTGGTATAAATATTAAGGTCTGTATGATTTAAATCACACCGGATTTACATATCGGTTTATATTCTGAATGTGGATGCTCTATATTTCTGTATTTCATATGACATTTAAAAATTCTACCTTCTGTGGGGGAGATACTCAAAGGAGTGGTTACCTTAAATATTAATAGTTCTGCCGTGATAGACGGTCATGAATAAATTAACATAGAATTTTACCTTTGAACAAGCATATTTGGAATACCCGGTGAATATTTCGAGGTCCCATAATCGAAGTGATGCCTCCCCACAAAAATCTCAACATTTTCTCTCAGAGCTCATGCAGAATACCTCGCAACTACAATTCAACTACGTCAACACAATTCTTTCAAATTACATTTTATTTCGCTGAGATTTATGACTACAAATAGACGTTTAACCTTTCGCCAAGAGTTTATTAGAGCTTGTGTAACGGCGACGGTGCTACTTTATAATGACAGCAAACATTAATTTTGGGCGTTGTAAACAAGCTGCAGTATTTGTTAAAAGTCAAATTTTGCATTTTGCTAAGAATTTTGCCTTCTTTTTTGTTTCGTATTTGCAGCAGTGTTATTTCGTATTTCCCTTCTTCCGGCGTCACATTAACAAAATAGAAAAAAAACATTTTGATAATTTTCACAAGAGTCCAATCATAAACGACAGCTGTTGTGTAGGTTTTCAATACGTTGTTTTTTTCTTGGGGTTGTTGTTGTTATTATTTTTAATTTGAAAATTAGAAATCTGTTTCGCTTTTCGTCGCTAACCACCTAAGCAGGCTATTTAGCAATTTCTGTGCAGATTTCTTTCTTTTTTTTGTTTTTGCTCTTTTTTTGACGATTTAATGTGACGTTTGTCGCGATGAAATTAAATCATTTGTGGCACATAACAAATCACTTTTGGGCTTTACCATGGGGTTCTATGTCGAATCTTTGCAAATATCTCAAATTTTTGATGGTAAATTGTCTTGTTCTTCTTCCCCAAAATTCAGCATTTAGTGTTATTTTGTTTTCACACTTTGCCATAGATATAAGTAACTCGGTCCAATGTCGGTGGACTTGAGCATTGCTGTTTTCAATTAAGAAAAAGCCATTCACGTCAAACCATTGGTAATGGTGGTCATTGTCGAGTGTACACCCCAGCCTCTTTTTGTCACTTTGTTTGCTCTTTTGTTTTTTGTTTTTGGCCAAGACGTTACAGCCAATATGTTGCTGCTGCCGTGATGAGTCCACGCAAAAGAAAACAACGAACAGAGAACTTAAAGAAATCGCTTGTCTAAATATAAAATTTGAGCAACAAGTGTATGACGGCAACAGACGACAAAAACAAAAATGTATTATTTTGAATATCTTTGAGAAAAATGTTTGCCCCAAAGAATTATTGTTCGAATATCCCTGAGTACTGAAATATTAGGTGGATCATTTTTATTGACAAAATTTAATATTACGATGTGCAAATTTTCGATGATATTGGATATCCCATTCGCTTCATATGAGGTGTACAAGTTTTCAAATTTTGACCCATTGTGGGAAGGTACCTGAAGAAGTGGGCCGACGGGTCCCATCTTCGGACATAATTTAAGTGCGAAAAAATATTAAATGAAATTGCAAAGTTTAAATGAAATTCCATATTTAAATGAAATTCCAAATGAAATTCCCTAACTTCATATGAGATGTAAAAATTTTCAAAAATTTGACCTTTGTGGGGAGAAACAGAGGGCCGATAAGCCCCTTTTAATGGTTAAAATATTAGGTTGTGCAAAGTTTAGTTCAAATCGGCTACTCCGTACACGTGATATTATAAAATAAATTTTCAGCAACATTTTTACCATTTTGTGGGGAGATACCAGAAGGAGTGGACTAGGAATAAGTAAATCGACTCTAAATTAATCCATTAATCGACTTTTTGTATTGAAAAGTCAAGGTCGACTTTTGAAATCGCAATGTCGACATTTTAAGATTTTCCATTTTCTTCATAACTATTTGCTTTATTATCACATACCCCAAATTGATTAAAAATTACACATTCCAGAATTTTATATTATCTGCTAACAATTCGTATAAAAAATCCTTGTAAAAGTCGAAAATCGATTTTGAACGGGTTTAAAAAAATCTATCAAAAACTCGACTTTTTAGTCAAAGACAAAAATCGACTTTTTGGCCTAAGGTCTAAAAGTCGATTTTTGGGTTCGACTTCGTATCTCAATAATGGGCCTTTGTCTTTTTTGCAATATTAGGTTCTCACTGAGTGGAAAAATTTCCTAACAAAAATGAACAAAATATGTATAGCTCCCAAATGTATAGCTCGAGATTTTGGTGGATGTGGATGAAATTTGGCATTCGGTCTTTGTGTGAAATTATTTTTCAGTCGAAAATTGTCAACATATGTTTATAATTTCATATAAAGGTTCAGCGGCATTTCCTGTATTTTCATGGTAATGGGCGCATTTTTGACTAGCTGAGTGTAATTTTGCATTTCGTTATGTATAAAAAATTAATTTGTAACATTTTTTTAAACACATACTTGTTGACTATTACCTCCAAATAAAGGCCTCGCCTGTGTTTAGTTATGTTGAAGGTTCTAGCGGAGCTTCTGTAATTTGGAATTTCATGTTCAGAGGATGAAGAATCGCATAAATATAATGACAAAGTTCTGACAAGTTTGGCCCTGCCGAACTTTAATATTTTTATATCATCCACCAATCTGTGGTACAGAGTATTATGTTTTTGTGCATATGTTTGAAATAGGCAAAAGGAATCGAGATAGACCTATGGTTCCTTTTGAGAATATGCATAGAATCACTTTCTGAGTCGATTTATGCATGTCCGTCCGTCCATGCATTTTTGTGAGCAAAGTACACGTCGCATTTATGATCCGATTTGGATGCAATTTGGCACAGGTCACTTATTTAGCCCAAGGCCGAACCCTATTGAATTGAACTGAGCAAATCGGTTCAGATTTAGATATAGCTCCCATATATAGATTCGTCCGATTTTAGGTAAATAGTTCACCAAACTTCCAATACTTTGAAACAAAATTTTGCACAACGTACTGAATTAGGTCCTGATTGAAGTATGTGAAGTTTTGTGGAAATCGGTTCAGATCTAGATATAGCTCTCATATATAGTTTCTTCCGATTTTATGTAAATCGGCCATCATACTGTCAGTATTTGTCCGATAGAGACAAAATTTTGCACAGCGTACAGTTTGATGTATATGAAGTTTTGTTGAAATCGATTCAGATTTAGGTCCGATTTCGTCCGATTTTTATGTAAATGGTGCATCAAAATTCCAATATTTTTTAGATTGAAACAAAATTTTGCACAGCGTACAGAATTAGGTCCTGTTAGATATTTGTGAAGTTTTGTTGAAATCGTTTCAGATTTAGATATAGTTGTCATATATAGTTTTGTCCGTTTTTTTGGTAAATGGTGCACCAAAATTTCAATATTTATTACGATGGAGACAGAATTTTGCAGAGCGTATTAAAATAGGTCCACATTGATGTATACGAAGTTTAGTGAAAATCGTTTCAGATTTCGATATAGCTCCCCTATACCGATTTTTGGTAAATGGTGCATAAAACTCCCAAGGATTATCCGATTTATACAAAATTTAATTTAATAAAATTGTGAACAGCGCTCTGTGCTGCAGCACACCAAACGGTATATGCCACGGTTGCTCAGTTAGGTCCACATTTACATATAGCTCCACATACATTATGTTGCTCGATTTCATACAAATGGTACACAAAAGAATCCGATTGACATAAAATTTTTCATAGATTTCAGAATGGTATGTGCATTGAGTTTTTTATTTGATTCACATATCTATGTAGATCACACATTTATTTATGTATCCAAAGTGGTGAAGGGTATCATATAGTCGGCTCCGTCCGACTTTTGAACTTTCCCTACTGGTTTATCTATATATTCTGAAGGACCAACATAGTTGTAAATGTGGTTTTGTATATAATAATAATAATTAAAGGAATAATGTAAGATATTGGCCTGGATCTTCTAGGAATGTATTTCAAAAATATTATAGAATATTTAGGCAATTTCACAAAGGCATAAAATGTGGTGTAGGGTATACAAATTATTGGCTTGTTTCGTTAAATATGGACTTATTTTTCTTGATATTGGACTATGTTTTCTGAGAGATGATCAGTTCAATAAAAATAGGAATGAATGAGTTATTATAATTTTTTTAAATAACATAAAACCACCCTAATATATTGTATTTGTCACTCATAATGCCAAATATAAAGTGACAAATTTGATGGCACACAACGACGAGCGCATCATCAACGAGCTCCTGCTCTCTATTCATTTAACCGTACCCCATTCTCCCCCATCGCCCCAACCTACAAACGAACATTAGATGTGAATACGAATGTTTGTCATCATCACCATCGCCGTGTGTGTCGCATACTTATTGAGTGAGTAGTGGCAACCAAATCGCTCTCAACGTGAAAATGCACTCAAAATGAAAATATATTTTCTGGTGCGGCTGTCGCTGCTATTGGTGGGGAAAAAATATCATTTCGACATTTCGTTTCGTTTGCTGCGAAAAAATTGAAAAAATTTTCGCGGTCACTAGGTAAATTTGTGGCGTCTCCTTGTTGTGTTACGAATTGGTTTTGGACCGGGAGAGATCGACTCGTATACTCGTACTCGTACATATTTAAATTTTTATTGTGAACAAGAATAAAAAATATATAAGAATTTCTATTTTTTATTAAATAGAAAAAAATAAATAAAATTATTATTCATAGTTTTGAGAAAAATAAAGAAAAAAATAGTCGAACAAAAAATATGATTACGCATAAAAAATATTGAAACAATGAGTTAAAAAACGAATTTGAAAATTTCAATTCAGTAAAATAAAGTTTTTCGAGATAAAAAGAAAAGAAAAAAATTTGACGAGCTATTAAAAAAAAAATATTAAAAATTTAAAATTTTTGTGTTGTTGTGGCTGCAGCAGTCGTTGAAAGGGACACCAAAGGATTAACCCAGAAAACGATTGTTCAGCTGAAATTTAATGAAGAAAAAATATTTTAACGAATTTTAAACGGATTTATTTTTTTTAAACGAACAACGAACGAAGTGAAATAATTTTTTTATTATAAAAAAAATATTAAAAATATTATTTAAAATATATTTTTAAAATATTTTTGTGATTTTTTGTTTTGTTAATAAAAAATAATAAGAGTGATTTTAATTTTATTTTAATTGTTTTTTCCCACAGAATACGAGAGTGTTATAAATAAAAATAATAATAAATTTAGATTTTAAATAAAACATAAATTATAGTAATTTATGAGGTGATTTAAAGTACTAACATTTCATTCAACTACAACTGATTCCTGGGATACTGGAGTTTTATTGTGAATTGTTATGGGGCGGATTACATTTTGGTTCCTATTGGGACTAACGTTATTCGCCGTCTCTACTCAGGGTAGGTATTAAAAAAATTAAAAATAATTTATTGTAAGAAATATAATAAAAAATATTTAGTTATAAAAAAATTAATAAAAAATATTTCTGTTTAAAAAAAAATATAAAAAATATTCCCCCCTCTTAAAGAAAACACCACACAATAATTATATAATCAAAAATTTTTAAAAATATCCATACACGATGGCTGGCCACTGCCGCCGTCGCAGCATCATCGGCCATAAAACCAGACAAGAAAACTGCCAAATCCCTTACGCGTAGATTGTGTAGCTAGCCTAGGCTAGCCAACGTTCTGCTTGTCTCTAAACATTTAATATAGTCTGCAGAAGAAGAAGAAAAAATTGCCTGTCAGCCACAACGGTTGGGGTATAAATATAACACCACCACCAAAAAAACCATTCAAGAACCAAAAAATAAAATATTATGTTTTTTGCTCATCTTCTTCTTCTCCCAATTTTTTTTGTCAAACTTATGAAAGAGCCAAAGAAAATTATTATGCAATTTTTTCTCGTTTGCTTTTGCTTTCGGTTGGTCCACCACTTCGTCCAACCAATTCATATTTTCTTTTGTGCGGATACTAAAATGCCAAGTAGCAAAAGAAGAAGATGAAGAACACCAGCAGCCATCAAAAGATGCCTCCCTCCCATTTCCCGCGGATACCTCATCATCTCAGTAGACAAACCAATGACAACAAAACTCAAAAAATTTTATTTTTGTATAAAAAAATATATTTTTTTGAAATATATACACACATGTATTTATGTGTGTACGTTAGCTGCTAGTACAAATACTTTAGACTTGTTCGATCATACTCATATTTTGCATTTTGAGTATATTTATATGTGTGGTGTTCAGTTCAGTTTTTTGTCTTGAGAAATATTGAAATTTCCTCTATACCACTGTCAAATAAATGTACGTTTGGTGAAAGTTAAGACCAATTTTTCTACACTCACACATTTATATATGTTCATTTTAAATATATATCTAAATATATATTATTTGTTTTTATCTCAAATCATCCATCTCGTTGAGTAGAATGTTGAAATAGCTCATTAAAAACATAATTTTAATATTATGAAAATTGTATAGAATAGAAAATTCTTAACCCTGAGACCAGCTAGTTTTTTGCGAATATTGAAATATAAGGATCGAACCTAATTCAATGTGTATGCGTACGAAATACCCATATTTTCGCCTAAATACGCAAGGCTATTATGTTTATTTTTGTCAATTGAAAAGGGAGGAAATGGAGAATTTTATTTAAATTTATCGAAAATTAGTCACTTTTTGAGGTAAATAAAAAATAAGCATACGATCCTTAAAGCTCGAACTAAAAATTATATTCCCCGAAATTCGTATGTCTAAATCTGAACCGATTTTAACAAAACTTCGCAGACATCAGTCTGACCTAATTAAGCACTCTGTGCACGATTTTGCCAAAATCGGTCAAATATTATGATTTTGTTGTATCATTAACAAAAAATCGGACGAAACTATATATGGGCGCTATATCTAAATCTAAATCAATATTGACAAAACTTCGCAGACATTAGTCTGGACATAATGCAGTACTCTGTGCAAAATGTTGTCCCAATCGGACAAATATTGGGAGTTTGGTGCATCAATCACATAAAATCGGATGATACTATATATGGGAGCTATATATAAATCTGAACCGATTTTCTCCAATTTCAATGCCAAATTTCATCCAAATCGGATCATAAATGCGACCTGCACTTTGTTCACAAAAATACATGGACGGACAGACGGATATGCGTAAATCGGCTCAGAAAATGATTTTACGCATATTGTCAAAAGGAACCAAAGGTCTATCTCGATTATTTTTGCCTGTTACAAACATATGAACAAAGACATATTACCTTGTACTGCGGTGAAGGGCATAAAAAGATATCAACAGACTGACATATATTCTCACAGGACATCTCAGCCTGCAGACACATTTACACAAGATTGGGTGTGAGGGAAGCAGCAGGTATAGAGTGTGTTGAGAACCCAATTATTTGGAAATGATGCTTCTCACGAACTAACCGAAAACAAGGTGTGAATGGAAACTATTAAAGGACAAGGTGTGAATAGAAACGCTAGAACGCAAAATTGAAGTGACCAATCTCAAGATGGTTTCTTCTAACTTTCTTTTCACTTTTCACTGCCTTAAGTGTATGCCCATGCGCATTCCTTGAGCAGTTCCTCATCCTCGGGTAAAATATTGTAATATTCGGGTCATTATTGTTATCTCCTGAGCGATCAGAAAAAAAAACAGACAAAAACGTTTCTAAGGTGTCGTCTTTGGCATACACGTAACATTGCGTGGCCAGATCGATTCAGCTAGCCGAGATATCGGTATAATAAAATGTTGGCCCATGACCAATATTCGCTGCGTTACAAACTCTTGTGTCTCCATAAACGTATAATAGTTTCACATCATATTTGGAGTAAATATGGTATAGTAAAATACAGTCAAATGTCAAAACCAAGATTGAATTAAAAATTCGCATTGCTGTTAATTTATCGATAAAATTAAATCAAGAATACTTATATGTTGACTTTATTCTCTAAGCGAGCTCGATCTAATACTCAATTTCGTAGAGATCAGCCTAAGATTATGACTTATAATTTGATAGCATACGTATATAGAATCAGTTATTTAATGGCCAGAAATTTTTGAATTAAAATACCGTTGCAGGATAGCAGTGTTGTGCTTAAAACTCATATGGAAAGGACCAACGTTTGATGGATATGACCACTTATGGCTTAGGTCCAAAGCTCTTAGTTTTAATACTATAATAAAATATACACACGACTCGGCCCTCTATGATCAACTTTGTATTGTTTGGAAGGCTTTAGCATTTTGGAATAAGATAAGAATAGAATGAATAGGATAAGAGAATTAATTGACCTTACCTATTTATTGAGCACAAACTGAGTTAGAAATTAAATCTCAAGTTCATACGATAGTTACATACGTACAAAAAATGTGTACAAATTTGGAAGGATTCGATAATTAGTTTTTGATTTATCGTGACCGCCATTTGTAAAACCACTGCTTCGAGAAACACGTGCTTAAAGTTTGAGAAAAACTTCTGCCGTCGCTTGATGCTGACACAATAAATCGGCTATATCTTCTAGAGGAACATTTTTGAATTAGTGTAATTTCGAAACAAAACCAAAATTAAATTTTGGAAACCGAAAAGTGGGGCCCCCTTAAAATAGTTTAAATCGTTTGAATTAAAGCGGTTCAAAAATCTGGATTATAATCTGAAAATCCGGTTCAAATCTGCCTCCCTCGTATGTTAACGTGTTCAGTATAATCAGATATATTGTGGAAAATTTGATAAAAGTGGAAAATGATGATGAAACATGCGAAAATCGACTTCTTGTTTTTTGAGATTAAAAAACTCATCTGGAGTTATTTACATTATGGTTGAAGAAAATAAGAACGAAAAAGAGACACAAGGACTCGAGATAGAGGAGAATTTACAAAAACATTCCTCCTTCGATTTTATTAAAGACATGTCATCTCAAAAATTACCTGCAATAGCCACAAACAAATATATGAGTGTTTTATTTTGGAAGTTGTTTAAGTCCAATGTTTCTGAGATATTTAAAGGTTTGGGTTTGATTTATTTGCCCTTCATAAAATAGCATATATATCGTAATATGTTTTGCAAATGTTTCAAGAAAACCAAAATTTGTATCACAACCTTTTCTGCGTTAGTTTTAGAGTTATCAGCAAAATACTCATTACGATATAACGCAAAAACTTGGCCTGTGGCTAATTTGTCTTTCTGGGCTTTCATCCCTTTAAGGATTTTTCCACCCCATGTATTAATTATCCATTTTTATCAAAAATCATTATCATTAAAAAAGATAGTAAACTTGGTTCTGGAACAAATGGTATAGCCCACATATAAAGGATTGGATAAGGAGCTCTAAAACCCAAATTTGGTCAAAGGATTTAAAGTATTGTTTTATCTCCCAAATTTGTTACCTCAAAATATCAGCATAAATAGTTTTGGGACAAAACGTCCTGAAATTTTTACATATTTATTTTAATTCAACAACACAATTTTAAAATCGTGCGTTGTTTGGGGCATTTAAGGGTTAATTTAAAAAATACAAAAATATCTCTAATAATGTTGTTGTTGTATTTTATTAAAAAAAAGAAAAGAATCACAAATAAAATAAATTAAAAATGACACGCATCGTCGACAGATTCGCATTTATGTGTGCATCAGTATTCGAAATCATCGCCAGTCCTTCTCGTATTTGTAATCGTTTATATTTAGATGGGTTCCTTTTTATATTTAAAGACATGTAGGTGCCTCCGGCTATTAGCTCTCATAATAAGAGAAAAATCAAGTAAATACATATATAAATTCTATCTACGAATATATATAATTTTTCCTATACACATATTAAAGGAGCTGAGGGAAAATGTTGTCATCCAACAAATCATCATAAATTTATATTTATGATGATCGCCTTTTTTCTGCAATACTCAAAACACACACACATATAATCGAATGCAAATTATTGTCTAATTGTTGTTATTGTACAAAACACGTCAATTTATCATTCACCATTTAGTATGAATTTCTTTTTTAAATAAACATTTTTCGCTTGGTTTATTTTTCTTTGTTTTTATTATGTATGCATGTATATTTTCTATATAAACATGTTTCGAATATGTAATGTAGCGATACGTTTTGGGGGAATAAATGGGCCTTGAAATTATTGTGCCCTTTCCGCAAACTGACAAGATTGTTGAACAGACACACGGAAAAGGGGTTCTAATAATCCCAAACAGGAAAAATGATTTTTAATGTTATAAAAATGATTAAACAATTTTATACTTTTTCATATACCCGATTTTCAATGGTGTATAAACAATTATTTTACCAGAATGTAAAATTAAAATTTTTGACTTCAAATAGTTAAGAATTTTTATATCGTTTTAAAGTTACATTTTGAAATTATATA